CGGCTGTGTATAAGAATAATATAAAAGAATTCAGTTCGTACCTCACAGGAAACAGATTCGAACCCACGATCCCGGCTTCAGAGCGAGCGAAGACAGTACATGCCTTAGACCGCTCGGCTACCATAACCGATCAACAAATTACTTAAAATTCAGTAAATTTCCAGTGTTTTGGAACAGCTGGAATCGAGTTATAACGCCAATCAAGAAGAATAAGAATAAAAAAGTTCGCCGTCATTAATCTTCCACGACGACTAACACACCAAAGCAATTAAGGATTGTTTTAATTTTTCATCTTACATAATGAGTCTACTAGACAGCAGATAAGTACATTTAATACAAAGAACTATTCTGAATTATGAAAAGCCGCTATGGGATTAACGCGGACTTCCTGTCAACGGTACAACGCTTGCCTTAAGTTAATTAACCCGTCTGTCTCTCTTCAGATCCGGGAAATGAAAGCATGGGTCGTACTTGTGATTCTGACATTTCCATTAACACGAAATCTGTTAGCCTCTGAAGCGACACAATACCGAATATAACATTTTGAAGCATGGATTTCATCAAAATAATATATAAAAGTTCAGTTCGTACCTCACAGAAAACACATTACGTCACCCCTATAAAGCCCAACCGGTAAATGCTGTTTAGAAAAATAGTCGCTGTTTACTGTGAGACCCATACTCTGTGGGTGGAACGCAGAGTTTTAGGGTAGTAAAGCAGGTGGTACATGCAATAACCATTGTATTATGTTTCTTAAACATTTGACAACATACCGTGTGAAAGGGGCACGCGGTAGCGTAGTTGGGTGAGGCACTACGCAACAAACCTGAAGGTCGCGGGTCCGAGTCCAGATGAGGTGGATTTTTTCAATTGACCTAATGCTTCCAGCAGCATTATGGCACTGGGGTCGACTCAGCCTCTAACAGAAATGAGAACCAGGAATCTTGCTGGGAGTAAAGGGCGGCCGGCGTAAGGCTGACAACCTTACCGCCATCTGTGAACCGATTGTCTAGATAATGTGGGAACCTCGACGTCTCAAAACCCTATGGGCCTCTGTGACCTTTACCTATATCATGTGAAATAATTAAACTTCTTTGTGAACGAAAATGTTGTTCTAACAACACCGAACCTGTTAAACTGCATCAATGCACTCTTATTGATTAAAACCTGTAAAGTTGTCCCTATGCTTAATTAGTTAAGCACTATAACTTAAATATGTACGGGGAGTGGAGGTATAGCTCCAACTTTCTTGACCTCGGCACTAGACGGAGGCGAGTGGTCAGCTTCAAGCCCCTGCCGCTTTGCCTTCGGGGAAGATGCCCCGGTAACCATTGGATAGGAGCTTGGTGGACCCCAGAGCCGGTCTGGACGACGTGGAGAATAGAAAAAATTTAGCAATTCCGGGAATCGAACCTGGGCCGTGAATCCCGTAGCCCGCCGCTATACTGGCCGAGTTATCACAACTCCTTGCGCTCTTATTTAATTACTTTACTTATTTCCGTCCTGCATGATGGCGTTCAGTAAACAAAATTAAATTCGCTTACTGGGGAGTGGAGTCCAGCTGGGTCCACTCGGCATGGCGGCCACTGATTGGCCTATTGTACCTTCCCCGGGTGATTATGATGATGAAGAATTTGGTGGAATGAAGATTGGCAGGGGAAATCGAAGTACTCGGTGAAAACCTGCCCCATCGCCACTTTATCCACCACAAATCCTACCTGACCAGACCCGGGATCGAACCCTGGCCGCTGCGGTGGAAAGCCGGTGACTAAACAGAGGCCCGCTGTTAACAGTGAACAAGCGCACGTCTCCTGCTGATGCTAAACAGGGCGTCATCACCGAAATTTACGCTTGCGTTCACTCCAGAGGCATCGCAATTAAAATTAATTAACTAATTAGCAATGATCCCAGAGATTCACTGCCGCCAGACGCAACTCACGCTACACCATAACTTCAATAGTATCTAATTCCGCAAGGTTATGATGGTCTCAACTTGCAGCTAGCATGAGACATAAGCCTTCGGGTTCTATAAAAGACGGGGGATTTTGTGACCAGCTGACCAGCACTACGGACTCAGTTAGGTGTAGTGGTCGTCACACTGAAATTAAGTTCCCCACTACACGAAATTTATATGAATCGGAAGAAAGTAGTTTTCAGAGACATAACAAAAAGTGTCACGTCGGCCACATACTGCAACTGGATGTACCGTTTGTTGAAACAACATACATACACCCAGCCCTCTTTCAGTTGCCCACCTATCTATCTCATATCTTTCACATTTTCTCATTTTCCTTATATTTCGGGCCCTGGGTCGACTCAGCTTCTAAGAGAAATGAGTACCAGGAATATTCCTGAGGGTTATGAGCGGCAGGCCCGTAAGGCTAACAACCTTACCGCCATCTGTGAGCCAATTGTCTAGATAATGTTGGATCCTCAACATCTCACAACCCTATGGGCCTCCACGGCCTGTTACAGGGATACCTTCACTTACTTTTACCTTCTTATTTTTCACGCTACTCGTGTGTATATATAGCTTAACTTTTCTATGTTGGCCACAGAGAAAAATTACTAACTTTTTACCAATCTGTACTGCTATTTCCTTCCGATCGGTATTAGACAGTCATCCAGTTTACTACAAGCCTGCTGGACTATTCATTTTGTATAAGGTAAAGGCAAAGTTGTCCCTGTGCTTAATTAGTTAAGCGCTATCAATAAAATTCATAATCAGAAATACGTCTTCCATATTCACTTAAGATTTATTAGTTTGACATTCAGTGCCTACAGTGATCCGCCCAGTGGTCACGTGTTCAAAACAAAATGCAGAACTTCAAAAAGTTCAACATGGTGGAAAAGGCAACATAATGCAACAGATCTTTTCTTATTTATTTCTTTATGGCTTCATAGCCCTTTGGACCTTGGTCACTTTTCAGTTTCTTAAACCTATACACAGTTGGTAGGACTCCTTGAACGGGGAATCAGCTAGTCGCAAGGCCGCTACCCACACACAGAACAACACGAACACAGAATAAACACAAAAAGACATCCATGCCTCGAGTGGTATTTGAACCCATGACCCCAGTGTTTGAGCGGGCGAAGACTGTTCATGCCTTAGACCGAGCGGCTACTGTGGTAAAACTGGTAAATGTTGACACTATTTTCTAAAGTTGGTCACCTACTTAAGATGACCGGGTTGGAGTGGAATCAGGTGGCCAACATATATAGATTTAACTACATTATACATGAACACAACTTACATGTAACGCGATTTGTATTCTTCTGTCAATCTTATACAGAATGTATTTACGTACTTTCCTGGCGTCTGGAACAAACGAAAGGATGCAAACATGCAGATTCCTGCAATTCTATAAAGTCTCTGGGTGTGAAAGTGTTGTAAATAAACTCCGCACCCAGCAATTTCCGTTTATACCCATCCCAGTTTTGAATTCATATTCGCACCTGCCTATAGTTAGTTAGTTAGTTAGTTAGTTATTGGAGAGGGTGGGTTTCCCCATGCACTTAGACTAGTATTGGTCCATTGTGCTTCCCTCCATGATATTCTACCAGTCTCTATATCCTACCGATATTGGTGCGTACCATCAGCCCCGACCGAGCCAGCGAGTTCGGCATCCACTAGCTTGGCGGTATCTATAATGCTTCCCCCATCTATCAGAGGCGTTAGAGACTACTGTTGGGCGGGAAATGTCCTTGAATTTGGCTCAGTGACCTCCTTTGGAGATATGAGGTTCTTTTACGTGCCGTAAAGCTACGACACGGGACCCACGGCTTAAAGTCCCTCCCGGAGGACTTGTTCCCTGAATTTTTCCGCCCTTAAAAATTCGACGACCTCTGCCGTGTTTGAACCCGCGTACCACGAGTCATGAGGTGGGAACGTTACCTCTAGACTACGGAGGCCGCTACACCTGCCTATAACGAAATATATTTAATTTGAATATAAAACAATCAAATTCCAAAAAGTGAGAGAAACCATCGAGTTATGAAAATTACTACCTGAAAGATTCAGACATATTGCATTTATGCAAACGGAATTTCATTTCTACCAAAATATACATACAACGTCGGTTCAGCTGTATATGAACATGTTACGTCATGCTTCAGTTTATGCGTTTTATACGTACAACATTACATCGTCTATATTCCACACAGTAAACCCAACAAATGGAACACTAATGGAAATGACATGGCGGACAGTATCGTAATAAATACAATCAGAGTTTTCAATAAATGTCACAGTTATAAATGTAACGGTCACTAGTTTCAATAATCGACCAATTTCCCCTCTCTACCGGAGGTCCCTCAGCCAATAAACAGAGTCCAGTCGTTTACAGGCCGTTCGGAAACCATGT